GGTGAAAAGATCTCTGATGTGGAGATGCTAGAGAAAACATATACCACGTTTCACACATCTAATGTGCTCCTGCAGCAGCAATATCGTGAAAAGGGATATAAAAAGTATTCAGAATTGATTTCTGTCCTTCTTCTTGCTGAACAAAACAATGAGCTCTTGCTAAAAAATTATGAGGCCCGTTCAACAGGTGCTGCTCCATTTCCTGAAGCAAATGCGATAGCAGCGCATCCTAATAATGGACAAGCTCGAGGCTGTGGTCATAGCTGGGGCCATGGTGGTAATCAAAGCCGTCATAACGCCCGTAGTGGTCATAACAAAAATACTACCCACCACAAGTTGGGAGTCAATAATGATAAATGGAAAGAAAAAGAAAGATGGTGACAAATGCTTTCGATGTGGCATGACAAACGATTGGTCGCGTATCTGTCGTATGCCAAAAACATCTTGCAGATCTCTATTAGGAATCACTGAAGAAAGCAGAAAAGAAGATAGAGACAAATTTCATCCAGAATGATGTTGTTGATGTTAACCATGGTTTTGTTGACAATAGTTTTACTGAATTTGCTAGTTTAGATGTTGCTGATTTCTTTGTCAATCACCCTGAAAGTGAAGCCAATGCTGAAAATGTCTTTCAGGGATAGTTTTTTTTTTTTTTCCGTAGAGATAGGTTTTATATTTTGAATTTGATGTGATGAATTTTATTTTCATTTGATGAATTTCAATAAAATATTTCCTATTTATATTTATTTTATTGTCCATTACTTTAATTTTATATTAAATAAAGGAAAATTATTCTTATTTAAAAATTTTTACTTTTGAAGATAATGGATGTCGCAATCAGCAATGACAAAGAAATATATCTAGCATACAGTGCAACAATACATTCAATACTCAAAGAGAGAAAATACTTTTCTCATATAGTGTTGAAAAAATCCCATGCTAGTACGTATCCAGGAGTACAAAATTAATTGAAAGATTCGGAAGAGCAAATATAATACTACCTAGAGGCACTAAATTTTGCATTAATGATGCATTATATTCCTCAATGTCTCAACGAAATTTGTTAAGTTTTAAAATTCGCCGAAATGGATATCACATAGAGACTTGTTGTGAAGGTAACATTGAGTGCTTGTATATTACGAGTAATGTTGTTGGGAATAAAAATGTCTTAGAAAAATTACCTTCATATTCCTCCAGATTATATTACACATATATTACTACAATTGAAAGTTATGCAATGGTAAACTAGAAGTTTACTAATCATGATGATTTTATTGTTTGGCATGACTGGTTAGGCTATCCCGGTTCTATTATAACGAGAAGAATTTTAGAGAATTCTTATGGTTATTCTTTACAGAACCAGAAGTTTCTTCAAGCTAAGGAATTCTCTTGTGCTGCTTGTTCTCAAGGCAAGTTAATTATAAGGCCATCGCCAATAAAAATTCGTACCAAGTCTCAATTTTTGGAATGTATACGTGGTGATATTTGTGGGCTGATTCACCCATCTTGTGGGCCATTTTGCTATTTTATGGTCTTAATTGATGCATCAACTAGATGGTCCTATGTATCTTTATTATCAACTCACAACCTGGCGTTTGTGAAATTACTTTGTGAGTTGATTCGGTTACGAGCACATTTCCCAAATAATCCTATTAAGATAATACGTTTAGATAATGTTGGTGAATTTACATCACAGTCCTTTAATGATTATTGTTTATCAATTGAGATTAAAGTTGAACATCATGTAGCTCATATTCATACACAAAACGGTCTAGCAGAATCGTTTATAAAGCGTATCCAGTTGATAGCGAGGCCTTTACTTATGAGAACTAAACTCTCAATATCCGCTTGGGGGCATACTGTGCTATATGCCGCAGCACTACTTCGTATCAGGCCAACAAATTATCATGAATACTCTCCCCAACGATTGGTTTTTGGTCAAGCACCAAACATTTCCCATCTTAGAATTTTTGGTTGTGCGGTATATGTTCCTATTGCTCCACCACAACGCACAAAGATTGGACCTCAAAGGAGGTTGGGAATATATGTTGGATATGAATCTCCATCAATCATAAAAATTCTTGAGCCAAAAAGTGGAGATTTATTTATGGCTCGTTTGCTGATTGTCATTTTGATGAGTCAGTATTTCCAACATTAAGGGGAGAAAGTAAACAGTTGGTTAAAAATATTAGTTGGAATGAATTGTCATTATCTTATCTTGATCCTAGTACAAGGAAATGTAAACTAGAAGTTCAAAAGATAATTCATTTGTAACGATTAGCAAATTAATTGCCAGATACTTTTAATGACTTGAAACATGTGACTAAATCACATGTACCAGCTGTTAATGCTTATACCCGAATTGATGTCCCTGAAAGACCTTCTACCACAAATCATGAATTACGGGCACAACAAAAACGTAGTAGACCAATCGGTTCTAAAGATAAAAATTCTCGTAAACGAAAAGGAGCAAACACTCTAGATGGAGAATTCGAGATTGTTAAGCTTCCTGAAGAAACTTTGGCAATAAAAGATCCCAACATAATAGAAAAAATCAACTTTCCAAAGAAGTTCAAGTACCTGAAAGTTTTGAGATCTCAATTAATTATGTTATGACGGGACAAAAGTGAAACCGATGTACAACAGAAGTCGACGATAAATTTGCCTATGCTGTAGCAGTTAACATTATAAATGAAAATGAGGATCAAGAACCAAGGTCTGTAGATGAGTGCAGACAAAGAAATGATTGGCCAAAATAGAAAGACGTTATTCAATCAGAATTAAATTCATTGGTAAAACGTAAAGTCTTTGGACCAATAATGCGCATACCAGAAGATGTGCAACCGGTAGGATTCAAATGGGTATTTGTGCGAAAAAGAAATGAGAAAAATGAAATCGAGCGTTATAAAGCACGTCTTGTCGCACAAGGTTTTTCCCAGCGACGGGGTATTGATTATGAGGAAACATATTCCCCGGTGTTGGATGCAACAATGTTTTGCTATTTGTTAAGTCTGGCAACAAGTGAAAGATTAGAAATGCACCTCATGGATGTTGTGACTGCCTATCTATATGGGTCACTTGATAACGAAATTTACATGAAAATCCCTGAAGGTTTTCAGATCCCTGAAGGATTTGGTTCTCGAGAGCTTTATTCAATTAAATTGTGTAAATTATTGTATGGCTTAAAACAAGCAGGGCAAATGTGGTATAACTGCCTTGGTGAATATCTGATAAACTAAAGTTATTTAAATGATCCAATATGCCCATGTGTTTTTATCAAAATATGTAGAGCTGAGTTTGTAATCATTGCAGTTTATGTTGATGATTTAAATATGATTGGGACTCCTGAAGAACTCACTAAAGCTGCAAATTACTTAAAGAAAGAATTTGAAATGAAAGACCTTGGAAAGACAAAATTTTGTTTTGGTTTACAAATTGAGCACACCGGAAGTGGCATCTTTTTACATCAGTCTGCTTATACTGCTAAAGTGCTTAAACGTTTTTACATGGAGAAAACACATCCTTTGAGCACACCTATGATTGTAAGGACACTTGATAAGGATAAAGACCCTTTTAGGCCTTGCGAGGATGGTGAAGAGTTACTAGGTCCAGAAGTACCTTATCTTAGTGCTATTGGAGCATTAATGTATCTTGCTAGTCATACACGCCCTGACATATATTTTGCTGTGAATTTATTAGCTAGATATAGTTTCTCACCTACAAGAATGCATTGGAATAGTGTTAAACATATATTTCGCTACCTTCTAGGTATAATAGATATGGGTCTTTATTATTCAAGAACATCTAAGCCTGATTTAGTAGGTTATGCAGATGATGGGTATTTATCCGATTCTCATAATGGTCGATCCCAAACTGGTTATGTTTTTACATGTGGGGGAACAACTATCTCATGACGGTCTATGAAACAGATTTTAGCTGCAACTTCGACTAATCATTCTGAACTTATGGCAATTCATGAAGCAAGTCGAGAGTGTGTTTGGTTGAGATCTATTGTTTCTCATATTCAAGGATCGTGTGGATTACATTTGGAGAAAAAAAAGTCCCTATTACTTTGTTTGAAGATAATAATGCCTGCATTGACCAATTGAAGGAATGATACATCAAAGGTGATAGAATGAAGCATATTTCACCCAAATTTTTCCTTACTCATCATGTTTAGAAGAATGGTGAAATCAATGTTCAACAGATTCGTTTAAATGACAATTTAGCTGACTTATTCACGAAGTAATTACCAGCATCGACTTTTGAGAAGTTAGTTCACAAGATTAGAATGCGGCGGTTGAAAGACGTCAACTGATGTGTTCAACAGGAGGGGGGGATTTCCTCACACTGTGCTCTTTTTCCCTTCATCGAGATTTTGTCCCAATGGATTTTCCTGACAAGGTTTTTAACAAGGCAGCGTCATATTTAGAAATGTACTCTTTTTCCTTTATTAGATTTTTATTCCACTGGGTTTTTTCTAGTAAAGGTTTTAACGAGACATTATTCCAGAAAATGGACATCCAAGGGGGAGTGTTATAATTATCTGAGAATGTAGATGTCCACAAGGCAGTAAAGTTGTATAGGAATTTTTTGTATAGAGATAATATTTATTAGATATTATCACCAGTTAGATGTTATCTCTATTTGCTCTTATCTCTGTATCTGCTATGTTTATAAAAGGCGAACAGTCTCTACAGAAATAATACACAGGTCATTCTCTCTTTCTCCCTCTCTATTGTTTTTTCTCTCAGTTTTATAGCTTTATTTTTCACTTTATATTTATAACAGTATAAATGTAGTTTAGGTAGTGAATTGTTACCATTTTTTTTTTTTTGAATACTTGGAAAGTGTTACCACTAATTATTCTGGATTTATTTAGTGAAGTGTCCACTCATACTTCGTAATTACAGTATACTAACTTCATCATTAATCTAAAAGTTATTTTTAAGGCCCATCCTTTTCAGCCCAAACGCTTGGAAAACATACGTGGCCCATCATTAACTTCAAAGAAATGGCCAGGAAATATGTCATTCCTGGTGGCGAAGCTACTACGATTTTACCCAGTTGCAGCTGGTTGTTATGACCGCGACCCCGGCGACGGCAAATGGCGTTACCGGCGACGGCAATCACCCCTGCACCTCGTGAGGTATGACTTCCTTATTATTTTATACAGTATTTTTTTTTTTTTGGGAGCTTATCTGCTTATTACTAGCTGTTATCCTGTCCTGAATTTTTTAATTTCAACGGCCTATTTCTGAACTGAACTGGTTGAATCTTAGAAGTGATGATGTTTGATGTCGTATAACTATGATTAATATCAGCTGGAAAACTAATAGATTGAGTACTGCTTATATCGTTTTTCTTTAGCAACTTTCTCCTACTGAGGTTCGAATTATAACTGATGAAAAATAATTAGAAATCTTGGGGATGATTGCTTAGACGAAATGAGGCATTGATTTAGTTTTTATAAACGTTAGAGAAGTTTATATGGTCTTTTGAGCTAATTTTGAGTTGAGTTCATCTGTGTCTTTCTCTGAGCCGCATTACTTGTTGAGTGCAATCATATGTGTAATTAAGGATAATGCGAGCCGTTTGTGCCAATATATGGACCAGAATGTATGATTAATGGTTACTAGAGAAATTATTTTTGTGTTATATGTTCTTAAGAGGGTAAATCTCGAATATCAGATTGTATCTTTTGAATTTAGTGCTTTTCTTGTAACGGGATACTACCATTATTTTTTTCCTTAATGAAAATTAGAAGGCACAACTAGTTTGGAGAGCGGAATAGAAAGTAATACCTTTCTTTCATTTGTTGGAACAGATTTTGTTGTTTAGAAGCCTGTCATGTCAACTACGTATCCCTGTAGTTCGGAGCGTACTTTATCGACCAGTCTCTGCCACTTCTTGTTCTAGGGGATCACCGAGAATGCAACTGTTAAGCGATTCCCCCAATGATCCTCTCAAGATCAAGATAAACTGGGATTATGCTGCAAAGAAGATACACGAGGTCATCCCTGATTCAATTCAAAATTTTCCATGGTCTGAGGCAGAGAGCGTTGCTACAAAGCGTGTTCTTAGCTTATTGCAGGAGACATGGAAATGGTCTCTTGCAGCTTTATTTGTTCTTGGTTTTCTGTCTGATATCGCTTATGCTATATCCAGAAACAAAGAGCTATTCATTCCGTTTGGCCTTCTGTGTGGATGTGTGGTTTCTGAATTTTTGAAAGAAGCATATCAAGAATTACTTCAGCGTTCTCAGGTAGACTGCTTTTTCAACACTTTTCACCTTTTTGTCAATCATTTTCATTGTTATCTTTTAAGTAATTCATCAACTGTTTGGCAGGAGAGAAGCAAGACTTGGCACTTTCTGGGTACGGCTTCGCTCTTTGCTTTGATTAGGATAGTTGCCGTATCTTCTGCTTTGCCACAACCATTTCTGTTGTTCGCCGCAAATGGTGGGTTCATGCATATCCTCTGGCAATTGAAAAATTTTCTTAGGGCGGCAGTACGACAGATGTAAATTTTGAAAATCATTCCAATTTTCAGAGTGTAGAAAATTAGACTTCTCTTGTTGAAGTTGAAACTGTTCAAAATTAAATCTCAAGGTCGCAGTTTTGATGTGCTCATGAACATTTTGGTTTACATTTTTGACTTACAAAGGCGTTGTAAATTGTAACTACTAACTAAAATATATGCATAATTTTGATATCTAAATTCTGGTCATTTGGACTAAACACAATCTGCACAAAGAAGCTGTATAGTAGGTGCTGGCGTAGTAGATGTGTTATGTTTTTGCAGCCGTCAGCAAGGTGAAGCACAACAGATATGTCAAACAGAATTTTAAATCTGTGCAAACCTTTAAAATGTTTAGAGTTATCAACATTCTACTGAAGCACTAAAGAAGCTACACTTTCCCACAAAATTTTGCATCATAAACAACTTCCATATACAAACACGGCCATCGAAATGCTTGGACATTTCTTACATGACCAACAACAAATCGTGTGCCTGTAAGAAACAACTAATTTGCCTAGTACTACAATTCCATCTCTCTGATTTCTGGTGATGAATGTCCTACCCATATTCCGGATAACTGAGCAGGTCTTTTTCCTGAAAGCCAAAAAAGATGACAAACATATATTTAGCAGACACAAAAACACATGCAAAAGATGATTGCTTATGCAAAAGATTGAGTTATTCAAACCTGCGGTTGTATCCCCTGGGTCTTCCAACACACCATCAACTGGATTGTTGCAATCAGTTGGCTGCACAATTCCACCAGGGTTCATGGCAGCTAATTTGAATTGACAATATTCAGATTGCAGTTTGCGGTGAATCTCTTCCATCTTTCCACTCTGCTCATCTTGCCAATCCATCTCAATCAGAACCTGTAAAAGGCCATGTTATGCACACAGAAACATTAAACAGAAAATGAGAACATCACTAAATGAATTTCAAATTTAAAAGTTACCTTAGCAGCGTTGCTTTTGAATACAGGAAGAAATCTTTGCCTGCAGTACTGGTTGAACAGTAGTGTACAGATAATCAGTGGAAAGGTGAAACTTAGGGCGACTGTGGACTTCTTAATCCCGAAAACTCCCGAAGCTATTACTTGTGTGATCACCAGTGAGAATATTGTTGCATTATGTATAGTTGGCCAATAAAGACCACCGGTTTGATAGTTGGTCACATACACGTTAAGAATCTGAAGAGTTAACAGCAAACAACTTGGTGACCAGTTCTCAAACAACATAATAAATCCCATGTATGAGATGAGTGAGATAACAGGCATAGCTCAAACAATAAAATAACCGGCATATGGCAGACCGGTAATTTTATGATTACAATATTCACCTACAGAAAATACTTGAAATGACAAATGTTTGAAGTGCACCACAAGTTCAAACAAGGAACTGTGTTCAAGTTGACCCAGAGTTCACAGTTCCCCCAACTAGAAAGTTGCAAAATTATCAGCTACAAGAAATATTCTAAAAAGCCACACGACATCACAGATGGTAAGAAGCCACTGAAGATATGAAGCGTATCCCTAATACAGTGGAAGAAGAAGCTGGTTCACCGGAAAAACAAGGATTGCCAGATATATAATACTGAAGCACATTTCGTCAATACTGTTTGCTCTAGAAGTCCTCTTTGTTTATCAGTGAAATATGCAAACAGTTTGAGCATGTAACTGCATATCCTAAATGCCATGATTCTAGTAGGAAGTACAGAAACTAAGAAATGAAATAAGAATAAGAACTACAAGCTTTTTGATATGAATAGAATCAATGTCATGTTACACAGCTCAATCAAAATAATTAGATATATAAAGATATGGTTTCCCAGTCTAAAGCACTGACTTATGATCTGATTTCTGAAGACATATTCAGAAAGAATTAAATTCATCCAGAGCAAAAAGCAGCAGACTCAACTTTACAGAATTCGCATAAAGAAAATGCTCACCTGATTCTTATACACAAGGTAGGCAAGGAAGAAGTAAACCAACAGAAAGGGAAGTATCAACGGCGCCATAACAGAACATGTAAAGCCCATTACTCCGAAAAGAACAACCCTTGGCACCTCTGTGTGGTATGGAAAAGTCCAGGTCCCGTACGTTGTTTCATCTTTGTTTCTGAGACCATATCTGTAAATAAAGTTACAGATAAGGGCCAAAGGTTGTAGAAGTTCAAACGCCAAACTTGCCCAACCTGACGTCAATACGTAAGTCATGAAAAAGGTGGCCTGCAATATACAATAACTTAATTAAGAATTTACAGTCACTAAGCTTGCTCAGATGCAGTCCTTAAACCTTACATCTGAAAAGAACCATGTGAACAAATAAAGGCTGGAGTCAACAAATGACACATGTTTTAATTATGTCACTTCTTAAATGAAACAAGCCAATAAGAATGCATCAGAGCAAAGGGTTTTTACAAAGACCAATCTGAAGGCCAAACACATTGCAAAACCTAGTATATAGTAAGAAATCAAAATTCAGCCACTTATTTGAATGTAAATGCTACCTTAAAGAATACCAACTCTTGCAAAACCAAAGATAAATTCATGTTGAAACTCAGATCTAAGATTGTAAAGCAAGAAAACTTCGAGAAAAGATAACAGTGGGGAATCACCGTAGTTGGGATGGCTACAGCAAGCTCATTTGGGATATTTTTAGGATCTGACAATCTTTCAGCTACAGCGCCAACCAAATTCTTAATAATAGTCCCAGTCAGAATGTTTGCAAAGAAAACATTCCATATCATGAAGGCCATAAGTTTCATGCAAGCACTCATTTTCCTGCCACTGCGAGATATTGCACCCTCCATGGTAGAAAACAAAAGCATAACAGGGGGAGCAATATAGAGAAATAACATCAATATGACACTTGGTAAGTAACCAGTAGCTAATTGGCTCATAAACTTCCTGCAGAAAAAAAAAAAAAAAAACGAGATGTGATCAAAATCAGACTTTGATTGTCCCACTTAACATACCATGCATTGCTAATATCCAATGAGGGAACGAGTTGAGGGGCATAATATGATGGCTCAATGTTATCAGGTAATATTCAATCTGTCAACCGTCATGCTCAAAAATATTGTCTCTAGAACCAACATATGCAATCAGTTCAAATTGTTAATGCAATAGGACATCACTTTCCCTAGTGGCCCCTTTTTACACCAAGAGAAAGTCATCACTTATTTTCCCTAAAAAGTCAGAGCAAAGTCACAAGTACATGGAACTCAAAGTTACATCAGCATCCTACCTTTTTAAAACTCCACGGAGAAATGGAAATGTATTCTGCAGCTTATCAAGGTTAACAAGGCTTTGAGTAAGAGTCACGGGTACAAGGAAGAACGCAACAAAAAGCATTGAGACCACAAGAATAGCTATTTTCCGAATCCATAGAAGCCTGTAAGGTAGGCCAAGGTTGGTCCAGTAAACATCTTTTGGATCTGGAGCCCTGTCTGTCACCCATTTCATCGGATTTGGAGACTGCAGAGATTGAGAAGCAACAAGAGCAGCATACCGTGTCCTGAAGAAAACAAGTGCAGCAGCACATTCCTGCACAGAGTACCATAATACTTCAGACTATCGTCGGAGTCACAATAAACTGCTCAATGTTGAAAGGATTAAAACTAATCTACATAAAAGAAAAAACAATAACAGTACTCAAAAAATAATCAACCATCTAAGTGGATTTGTCTAACAAACATAAGTGGGGAAGAAAAAGACGGCCCAGCCAGAATCACAGAAAACAATGAAGTCAAGAGAAAAGTGGTCTCAACAGTAACATGAATAGACAGTGAAGAATTAAATTTATGCAAAATCACATTGGCAGGTAAAGGAAAGTTTGTCCAAACATAGATGACCCCTCCCTATTTGAGCCCTCAAGGCAACAAAACCTCCTAATTAAGGGTTCGTAAACATTGAATTGAAGATATCTTAGTTATTTCCACATCACCGTGTTTCTGCGATTTGAAATCTCAAAGTCACTTCTTGTCTTGTCACTTCCGGCCTCGATTGCGAGGATCTTGAAAGAAGTTGTAGTCCCTCCACAAAAACCACATCGTAATAAAGTCCGGGCGCAGTGTTGATCCGCAGTAGTAGTCTTCAGCATCTTATACATCTTTCCAGCATCATGCTGGCAGGTAGAAAGAAAGGAATAACAACTCAATCACTCAAGAAAAGAAGTTGGTGAACAACCAAGACATTGGCAGGATGTTTTTCCTTTTTGAAATCACTATATACTCTAGCCAATTACAAGGAAAAACTTCAGCATGTAGAATCCTTATGAAATAATGGTATATTTCAAGCAAGTGACCGCTCCATTAAAAAACTGTTTCTATTCATCAGATAATAGTCAACCAGTGAGCAAGGACGAAATATAACAATGCCAATTAATCTCACCATGAGTTTCTGAACGGTGCCAGATTGACAGATCATTTGGTGTGACAAATAACTTGATGCATAGTACGTAGTGAAAAATTTTGCCACCGTCTCACTGTATGATTCAGTTGGAGACCAAGGAATGCCACGAACAAGAACTGTGAAGTGACTTGGGTTGGAAAGAGATTGCGTAATGTATGACAACCTCATCTTTGTGATATTTCTATACTCCTGGATGCAAAAGGGAGGCACCCATCCATATTTGTCAGCAAAAATTAGATATAAATTTTAATAGGCTTCAAAAAGCAACTATCAACAGTAACTTGCTCCTTTATACTCACATAGTAAAGAAGAGCACATGTGGAGAGAGTAATAATGTATAATGCGAGGCAATGGGCCCAAAGCCTGCAAAGAAAACAGATTTTATGTACAAAGGATTAAAGATGACAAAATATTTTTATGGCCATACAACTACATATAGCACCACGAAAGCAAGAAGGTTCAATTCCTTTACTTAAATTGTAGATATCCAGTACCTTCTTGATCCTTGCTCAACATTTGCAATCGAAAAGACTTCAAGAGACTCAGCTGGAATCATTTTATGCTCCATCTCACGCCCAAAATAGTTGAGCGGAAGCACAAGAAACAGGCATATTGTAGCAGCAAGTGAGAATATCCGTATGCTAGGACAAAGCAGAGAGAGAAAAAAGGAGGAATAAGCTCACACTTAATCTCAAAATGAAACCTAGTGCATGCTAAACTTGAGTTATGAAAGAAAAAAAAGCAGCAGATTATCTGTCTATCAACATCAACAATCTTATTCAATGACACAATACATGCATTATAGTTGAAAGCCCTGCCCAGGACTTCCTCTCTAACTATGGTCTCAGGTAGAAAGACTATTCTCTCGACTGACAAGACTAATTCAAAAAACATAGCTCCCAGCTGCCAATGGGCCCCATTCCTTAAACATAATTAGCTACACAGTTGCTGACTCTCCAAAGCTTGCCCCTCTCTTCCATTGTTTTCCGCAGACAAAAAAGTACTCTAAGGGTGAACAACGCAGCTGTAGCTCCCACAAAAATGAGAGGTGAAATCTCAGCATCAATAACATTAAAAGGCTCTACAAATTCCTGATTGATCTTTTTATGTCAAGAATAATTGAAAATTATGAGCATCTTGCCAACCCCCAACCCCCCTCTCTCAAGAGCCTCAATGTTTCTATCAGAAATAGGACTCAAAGTGCTGCCCTCACTTCAAAATTACATATATGATCATAGGACCACTATCTGAGTAATACCAATCATCTGAGCTAGGTATAATTCACTCCTACCAAACAGTGAACGAACAGTTGGCATATGGTTTCAGCTATCAGAACTAGTCAACTGGGGAACTACGGGGTGGAGTAGAAGCTCACAATGAAGAATTCACAAGGCTGGTAGCCAATCAGGACAGTTAGGAAGAGCAATAAGAAAGACAAACCGTGCAGAGTACAACATCTAAATTTAATTTCTTCTTGAGCACTCAAATCCTTCATATGTACCTAAAGCAAGTGTGCATCTTCTAAGCCATCACCCCATTCAGAGATTTAAGCTATTATTGTAACTAATGAATCTGGAAATGTTGTAAAGACAGTAAATTATGTTCATTCTGCTGAACAAAATTTTAGTTTAAATCTCAAAATCAATGTATCATGACTCATCTTATCTTACTATCAACAATGCGCAACAGTTTAAAATCTACATATCTTCAGAATTATACCTTAAACTTCATTTGTTTTTAAATCTCAAAATCAATGTATCATGACTCATCTTATCTTACTATCAACAATGCGCAACAGTTTAAAATCTACATATCTTCAGAATTATACCTTAAACTTCATTTTCGACAAGATGCTATTTCACAATAGGAGATAAGAAAAAATTACTTCCTAACACAAAGTTCTGCTAGTATGTAAACAATGTGAAAGTAAACAACTTAATATTCTTGAAACTATCGGTAACAAACATACCATGTGAAGTATATAGCGTACACATTCCATGAGCACTCATATTGAAACCTTTATAACTAAAATCAAGGAGGAGACAATGTACCTGAAAACAATTAACCGCAAAAAGACCACAGCATCTAGTCCCCCAGCTGAATAGATCTGATCACCAGTTGCTTCCCAGGCTCTCAAAATCCAACCAGCAGAAGGAACAAGTCTTTCAAAGCAGAAAGGATCATGGCGTCTTAAATTCACCTGGGCGAGCCTTTGTCCAAAATATACATTTATAAAGCGTGGCTGTTTTCTCAGGACAGAATACAATGAGAAAATCACCACGCAAACTGCTATGTTAATTCCAGCAGACGTAAGCAGAGCAGATAAGTACATCTTCTGTTAGTATATCAGCAACAGAAGGTGTCTCATTGCCCAAATCTACAAAACTGGTACCATAAGATAGGCCCCAAAATCAAAAACCAACTGCAGAGGTCTTCAGCAACTAGCACTCCCTAGTCTCTAATATCGGTCTGCAAGCTGCAAATTCAGGGAAACACAAATTTAGTAAACTATTGACCGAATTTGTATCAAATTCACTGATTAATAACCTCCAACAACTATCTCTTCAATCCTAACTGCTCAAAGCTCGGCAATCAAGGAAAGATTTGGAAGTTTTACGTAATATTACAAGTTCTCGTTCGCTTAAGCAACCTAAGGTTTCATGAATTCAATTCTAAGAAACTCTGTTAAGAGAGAAGAAAACTTCAATTCCACCTACTGTAAGTATCGTACTCAATTTGCTCCACGCAAAAACTTACACACAAAAGCAGCAATACACTTAAAAATAAACGCGGAAAACACACTTCACCGATCAACAACAAATCAATTGCAGATAAAAACAGGACAAGAACAGAACTCGAGCAAACAGCTACAAATTGAAATCAAATCCAATCAGCAATCAAATTGAAAAAAAATTACAAAGTAAAAAACGAAAAATCGGAATAAATTAAGAAAAAAAGGTAGCACTAAAATCCTTACCTGTAATCGGAACGGCGTAAGGGGAAGAATGCCGTGAAAGAAAAGGTGGAAGGAGAGACTTGGCTTAAACTTTATCAAAAAAGCAAGCCAGTGAAAATTGAAATTCCTTGACAGAAAGAATTGAATCACACGAAAAAAGCCCTAGAATTTTTTTTTGTGGAGAGAGAAACTGAGAAAGTGATGCGCGATAAAAACACATGCAAGAAGAAGAATATGGGGGAAGGGGGAAAAAAAAAAAAAAAAGAAAGAAAAAAAAGCTCAGGCGGGATGAAATTGTTTTATGAAATTAATAGTGAATCCAAAAGTCAGGAGAAAATACGTCGATTTTGGATTGCAGTTATTTATACGACGTGAGTTTACGCAAAAGGGAATTATTAAGATTTGCGGGCCCAACGGGGACGCCACGTGGGAAGGAGAAGGAGGAGTGACAGTTTGACCTTAAGAAACCGCCCAAAAACTGTCTGTCAATGTTTTCAGGAATTTCGGTTTCTAGTTAATTATATTATTATTATTTATTTTGATTTGAATCTATTTTATTATTATGTGACGCAAAATGCAGTAGTAGTGTGTGACTTGCACTCTGACTCGTATCCTCAATTTTCATCATTATTAGTTTATTACTCTTCTTTTTAATTGACCGGTCCTCAATTTAATCGTATTATATATTTTTTGATGTATTCAAATATAATGTACTCCCTCCATTCCAAAATAAGTATCATTTTACCAAAATAAAGAAATTCCAGAATAAGTGTCGTTCTCACATTTCAATGCACTTTTTGTCAAAAGTTTTCAAAATTACCCTCAAAAGAGTTGATGCTATTGGTGAACAATTTTATAATGGGGTTAGTTGAGGATATTCAAGTAATTTTATTACCCTATTTAAGAGTTTCTTAAACTATATGCAAAGTGTAAGACGACACTTATTTTGAAATGGAGGGAGTCCAATTTATTTTCCTTTAGTTATTAATCTTTGAATTTCCTCACATGTTGTTTCGCCATAACTGGAGTGAATAAAGGTACATTATTAGGAAAAATACTTTAATTAAAATTTGATATTAAGATACTAATAATTAGTGGTTAGGTTACTACTCTTTCTGATAATAGATTCGATTCCCAACAGGGGCTGTAAAGGGAAGTTTTAACCACATTTAAGTGGGGTCCATGGGATAGATTTTTTTTTTTAAATGTGCTATTAAAATAATACTTAGTTTTTTCTTTAAAGGTGTAAATTAAGAAACAAAGTCTCCTTTAAAAATGGAATGGAAATAACTTGTAAGATCGTCAGTAGAATCATGTTTATGACATTTTCAATTCTTTTTTTTTAAAAAAAAAAAAAGAAAAAATGGTTGAAAGCCATTGTTGGGCTGTTGCTTGAACATTTCGTGAAACAAATTCCAAAATAAGACTTCGACTTATCAGATTTAAACATTTTTACATTTTTCATGAATAAAATTCTTATTTTATGACAAAAGATCCATACATGATGAGAAGCCGACCGACGCCAAAGGATATTATTAATTAGATTGAAAATTTTCCAGAAGACAATGCTCACTGTACACTGTGCACAAATATCATCTTGTTTTTTTTTTTTTTTGGTTAAATACAAATATCATCTTCAAATGGCAATCGATTATTGTTGACTAACCGGCGAAAAGGATTAGCTGTAAGCATCATCGTGCGTGATTAGAAAGGGATTAATAATAAAGTGAATACAATGTGTACAAGCACTCTAAAAGAAGAAAACCCCATCCCCAATTTAAAATAAGGTGATTTTAACGGAGGGGGGTACATTTTAACTTTAATTAATAGAGTTAATTCATTGCAATGATATATAATACATTTCCATGAACAAAAATGTGAGACAAGTATCTCTTCTTCACTCACCCAAAAGGAAGCAAAAAATGGATAGAGTGTGTTAATTGCCTCAAATATTACTGGCTTTGAGATGCAAACAAAGAATCACATTCTGGCATTAAAAAATAGAAGAAAAAAAAAAGGGATCACACAAATAAAATACTGTATGATTTAATTTGATTAGTTCCAGGAACACAAACAACATGATCATTTGGAGTATTGAGAAAGTGCGTTGCGGTAAAACACTTGCATGCAAGAATATTGGAGAAAATTTGTGGTTTCTAAATTCGGAAATGGCAATTGACACACATCACACTAAAATCACCTATAAAAATATTATTATATGGAAGAATACCGAAATTGTGACATTGACACCTCTAACAGGAAATGACAAATTTGTTAGTAATTAATATTGCGTGACAACGATTGGTAGGCCGTTTGCTAACACATTTTGCCAAACAAAAGTCAAAATTAGGAGCATTTCCGTGTAGAATTATTGGCCAAATCCGTGTAAGGTTCGAATTAGAAACCGCCAAAGGGATATCAATTAATTATGGATATGATTTCTAAAAAAAAAATAACAAATAAAAATTCAAGAAGATGACTCATTTCTGTGTACACAAATGTCATCTTTCAATGGCAATCAGCCCCCTTCTGACTGACCTACCAGGGACAGGGACTTCTATCCCAAGTTATAAGTCATCGTGCATAAACAACATTCAATATGATCAAGCAGTACCCCTAATAAAACACGAAAGCCCACCTCATTATAAGATTATTTGCTGAAATTTTATGTTTTAATAAAGGGCTCTTTTTAGCTAAAAAGAAGTATATGGCTATTTACCTTCCTTTATACTCGGCTATTTATAACTAGATATTATCGCACGAGATTTATCTAACACAATATGGTAAAATCATTGAAAAAATAAAAATGTGACAAACACAAATGATGTTAATGAATTGTGATGGTATAGATGATATGAATAAATATAAATTATAAGACCTACTTACAAATATCAAAATATAAATTTGTATGTAATGTCAAATCAAATATTGTGCAAATTGTTAAAGAGTTTAATCTTAATAGTGATGAAAAGTAAATGTCATATTATGTTTTACAGTGGCATGGAAAAAACTAAATAAATTAAATTGTACTTAAATTGTATTAATTAAATTTATGAGGACTTTGTTTGTTATTATGCAAAGTTTTTTTATTTTGAACTCATAGAATAAGACTAAACTGTATAAATGGTCCCCTACATTTGTCTGAATTTAAATTTTGGTCCCCTACATCAACATGTATATGGATTGAAGCCTTTACATTTCATTTTAAAACTTTTTTGGTCTCTTTTCACTGTTCCGTCACCATTTCCGTCTTGATGACCGTTAACCCTACCAACTCAGGGGTATTATCAGAATGACACATATAAGATCAAAATAACAAATGTTTATATGGTCCCCTACATTTGTCCGAATTTAAATTTTAGTACCTTACATCAACATGTAAATGGATTGAACCTTTATATTTCATTTTGAAACTTTTTTGGTCTCTTTTCACTTTTTCGTCACCATTTCCGTCTTGATGACCGTTGACCATACCAAGTCAGGGTATTTTTGGAATGACACATATAAGATCAAAATAACAAATGTTTTTATAATAAAATAGAATAAAATATTAAAAATTATTATTTTATAATAAAAAATTAAATAATGTAAAAATAAAAAAAATTAAAATTATTCCAAATTTCAAATTTCAATTTTTTTCACTTTCTACCTTTATGGGTCCCACGCGCCAGTCAATTTTTCCCTTTTTTTGCTACAGTAAAAAAAATCAAAATTAAAAAGCAAACTTACCTTCACCCGTCTTTTACCTTTATCCTTAAAAATTTTATTCTCATAACCGAAATGCCATTTATTAATTTTATTCTTACCAAGTCACTGTTGGTAAAGGTAAAAGGCGTGTGAAGGTAAGTTTGCTTTTTAATTTTGATTTTTTTTACTGTAGCAAAAAAAAAAGGGGAGAAATTGACTAGCATGTGGGACCCACAAAGGTGGGAAGTGCAAAAAAAATTTGAAATTTGAAATCATTTTAATTTTTCATTTTTATTTTTAAATTATTTATTTTTATTATAAAATAATAATTTTAAATATTTTATTCTATTTTATTATAAAAACATTTGTTATTTTGATCTTATATGTGTCATTCCGAAAATACCCCTGACTTGGTAGGATCAACGGTCATCAAGACGGAAATGGTGACGGAAAAGTGAAAAGAGACAAAAAAAAGTTTCAAAATGAAATGTAAAGGCTCAATACATATACATGTTGATGTAGGGGACCAAAATTTAAAATTCGGACAAATGTAGGGGACCATCTAAACATTTGTTATTTTGATCTTATATGTGTCATTCCGAAAATATCCCTGAATTGGTTGGGTCAACAGTCATCAAGACGGAAATGGTGACAGAACAGTGAAAAGAGACAAAAAAAAGTTTCAAAAT